CCACCTATCTGTTTCAGTTTTGGTAGGTCTCATCTTGGGGACCCACCTCTCTGTTTCAGTTTTGGTAGGTCTCATCTTGGGGACCCACCTTTCCGTTTTAGATTTAGGAGGAGAGTAGACAGGTGCTTTGTGATTGAACGGTTGTTTCTTAAGTTTGGTTTTGAAAATCTCCTCCTTAGAAAGCCGATTAAGATGTTTCCTAGAATGAACTCTAAGGGCATATTTCATATCAGGAATACAAAACGTTCCCTTAGTAGTTCCTTTCTTGGTTTCTTTTTCAGGTTTGAGCTTTCTGGAAGGCTTAGATTTAACAACATTCACATCACATTCATAATTATGGGGATCTGGAACAGAATAACCATAAGCATCACTTGTATTATAAATAGAACGTTGTCTAGAAAATGTCTCAGAAATATTCAGCTTGGGACTCAAGACTGAACTACTAGAAGTTTGCTTTGTAGAGACAGAATTACAATTAACTTTGGAGTAAAAAATAGAACTAGATCTAGGGCTGGCATTATTTTCAAAAACTTTCTTTTTGCCATCTGCGATTTCCTTCCTCTTTTTCCTCCACTCATTCTTCTCTTCTCCTTCCTTATTCACTTCATTCCCTGTAAACAAAGGAGAAGAGAGATGAGTGGACGAACCTTTAAAAGCATTGTTTTTCTCATGTGAGGTGTGTGAGCTGTCAGGCTTAGTCGTAGAAGGGTCTGTTTTAGCATGAAACTGCTCACTCAAATCGTTAAATTTTTGAAGAAGTTCCTGCCAGTTGCGCTCAAAGCCTTTCTTTTCAGTTTCAAATCTCTCTCTCTCGTCATCAAGAGTTTTCTGTAGGTTTTTGAGCTTTTGAGCCATGGGAAATATACACGGTTCCTCACCAGTTTTAGCAATACCTACTCTTGGGGGAGGGTCTAGAGGGTGTCCTATGTGAGGAATATCTTTAGCATAAGGGTCAAGACATTCACTAAAGCAGGAAGTAGGTTCTTCTTGTGAAAGTTGTTTTTCATTAACAGAGGAATAGTCACAAGAAATCGCAGACTTTGGATTCTTTCTCTTTTCCTCTTCTGCTTCAGCGTTTTCTTCATCACTTCGAAAATGCATTTTCTCGACTAACCCTAGTCCCATGTAATCTTTGTTATAGATTTGAAGACAATTAACTTTCTTAAGATTACGTGGGTTGGTTATGCCCAGTCCTGTTTTAGCATTGTAGAATCGGTCATCCTTTTGTTTGCTGTTAAGCAGAAAAACAGTTTGTTCAGATTGACCTCTTCTAGCAGCTAGATCTTCTAGTTCTTTTACTTTATTTAAAAGCGTTCTTCTTTTGTTATGCAAAAAATCGCATTCAGCCTTTGCTGTGCTTTTTTCCCGTTCACTGTCCTCAAATTTCTTAGTTAATTCAGCTATCTTCAGTTCAAAGCTTTCAAAATCTGAGGACACCTTTTTGACTTGATCTTTTGCAATTTCAAGTTGAATACTTAAGGAAGACTTTTGGTCTAGATTCTGTTTCAGAACTCTATGATTATTGTCTAGTCTCTCCTTTAGTTCTTTGATTAGATTGTCCTTTTCAAGTAAGGACTGCATTTGATTATTTAAAGAAGTATGTGAGGTACTTGCAGAGCTTGTTGAGCACTTGCTTTCGGGGATCGCAGCATCACCCTTTATTTCATCTCCCTCCACACGTGCCATAAGGGCATAGTTGTCTTCCTCCTCCTCCTCCTCAGAAGAATCTTCTGCCCAGTTCTCATTCTCAGCAATCATGGCAGAGGTTTCTTCTTCTTTCTGCACCATCAGCATTTTCTGCTTATTCCACAGCATCTTCTGCTTGTAGAAGTTAGCATCTTTCTTCTTTGGGAGGCGGCAGTCTTTGATCACATGTCCAGGCTTGCCGCAATTATAGCATTTAGGAGCTTCTTCTGCTGATGATGCCTTCCTAGAAGATCCTTGATCATGATTCTTCTGCTTGTAGTTTGAGGAGGAAGTTCTCAGCTTGTTGGAGGAGCTGTTCTTCTTAGCAAATCTTTTGGCAAGCAGTGTCATCTTCTTCTGTAAGTCTGCTAGCTCAGCCTCTAGATCAGATTTGTCATCATCACTATCATCATCATCTGATTCAACCACTACCTTCTTCTTTTTCTTCTTTAGTGAAGTGGTTGTCCTTCTTGGCTGAGCCTCCATTACTAGAGCTAAGGGGTTTGTGGTGTGATGATCCTCAGCACAGGCAACCTCGTTGACGAATTGCTTCAGATGTTCATAGAGTGTGCAGAGGTCAATTTCGTCCAAATCTATCCGAGATCTGACATCCTTCACTGTCTTTTCCCATGCAGGATGCAGGCTGGATAAGAATCTAATATTCAGTTCCAGATTGGACCTGAATACTTTGATCTTTCTGAGTTCATTTACAAGTTGAACAAGTCTGTTGTAAGTCTCATTCAATGGTTCTCCTGGACCTGCTTTGAAGGAGTCATAAGCGATGAGAATCGTAGTCTTCTTGGTTTTGAGGTTGATGCTTGTGCCTTGTAGCAGCTTCTCTATTTCATCCCACATTTCCTTAGCTGTCTGCATGCTATCAATGAGAACATAAACTTCATTTGGTATTGCTTGAAGAAGGTATGTTTTGGCCATAAGGTCACCACGAAGTCTGAGCTTGTCAGCTTCTGTGTATTCAGATGGCACTTTCCTCCTTATTTCTAAAAAAATAGGAGGATTATTTTCTGGATCTCCACCAACTGAAATCAAGAGTTCAGCTGGTCCTTCAAGCAAAGATTCAAGCATCGCAGCAGAGTTCTCCTTGTGCTCGAGGAAATTTAGAAATCTGTTCCTCCACATTTGATATTCTCCCTTCCTGAGGCTAGGAGGGGTACTGCTGTTCCCTTGTGCATTGTATTTTGAAGCCATTGCTGTACTAAACTGACTGTTCGAGAAAATTGATCAAAAGATTTTCAGAGGCAGAAAGTCGAAAAATCAGATGTCGAGATCTGAATATCGAAATCTAAGATTTCGATAAAGGAGGCCCGGTATCGAGATTTGGGCTCGAGATTAAGGATCTCGAGATTAGGGATCTCGAGATTTCAAATTTCGAGATGCTGATCTCGAGATTTGAAATGTCGAGAAGTTAATCACTCGAAATCTTAATCTGAGAAGTCAAATGTCGAGACCAGATGTCGAATCCTTTTCTCGAAATCAAGATCTCGAAATCCTAGATGTCGAAATCCTCAATGTCGAAATCCCGCAATCTGTAAAAATCAGATAAACAAAATCTGAAGGTAGTTTCCTGTAGAGTAGAATGTCGAGATCTTCGGGTAAAGTTTTCAACTCGAAAAACGTAGCAGAACCTGTGAAAAAGCAGGATGTCGACAACCCCTGCTCGAGATATCTCGAAATCTGAATTTGCGTAAAACACAATCTGAAGTATACTCTTTGATCGCTTTGAAAAGGCGATTCCAAAGGTGTAACTTTTACAATTTTTGAACAAGAAACAAAATTACAGAGCAAAAAATCGACAGAAAGAACTACGTTAACAAAAACAGAGTATTCTGCAGGAGTTCTTCTGATCGGTTCTCGATCGGCTCTGATACCAATTGTTAGTCCCTGTTTCTGTAACAGCAATGAATAATCGATCTAACAAGGAAGATTAAACGTAAAGATGAACACAGAATGAATCACCGTAAAACCTTCTTTGATAAATCGTGGACACGTACAACAGAATGATATGCGTAAGGCTATGAATAATAAGTACGACGTTCAACCTATTCCTAAACCTCGGCTCCCTTTTTATAGGCGAGGTTTAGGTTAGGCATACCAGGCTTTTAGCCTGTTTATATGGGCCTAACACTTGGCCTGATTTCTATCTAATTCATGCACTAATTAAATACAAGGATTAAATATAAAGCTAATCTATGACCAACTTGATTCACAATTAAATATCTCCAACAACCCCTAACCTAATTAATGCTAAAATATGCCTTATTTGATCCTATTAAAATAATAAAAAATGAAAACAAATATTTTTTTAAAAATAAAAAACTTTAAAAATAAATAAATAAAAAATAGATAACACACATTAAAAAATATAAAAAAGATGCATGCCTTTCCCCAGCATTGGCCATCACCCAGCAATTCCATCCCCGATCGTCGAAAAAAATGTCATTTTATGTAAAAACTGTCATTTTTCTTTGAAAATGTCATAAAGATGACACTTTTACTCTTTGAAAATGCCAAATTTTCTCGAAAACTGCCATCATGATGTCATTTTGGACAAATGTTGACATTTTTTCAGTGGCCGGAGATGGTGGTGCTAAGAGGTTGTTGAGACGGTGGTAGATGCCTGCATATGTTTTTATATTTTTTTTCATTTTTAAATATTTTAATTTTTATGTTTTTAGTTTTTTATTTAATATTTTTTTTAATATTTTTTTTATTTTAATAATGTTTTATTTAATATGGAGTATATCTTTTTAATACTCCCCCGGTCCTAAATAAACGTCACACTTTGACTTCACACAAATTAAGAAAATAAATTTGACTCTACTGAGTACACTGTTGTGACACTGTTTTGCACTGTTTTGCACTATTTTGATGTAGATAATTTGTCAAATAAGGAAGAGAGAAGAAGTGTGAAGTTTATTTTGGACCTACCAAAAAGGAAAGTATGAAGTTTATTTAGGACCGGAGGGAGTATATATTTTTGTGTTATTTTATTTTTTTACAATTTTATTATAAATTAAATAATGTTATTTCTTTTATGGTTTAATTATTAATGAAAGTTGTTGAGGCATGGGCAAGGGTATATTTGCCCAAAAACTAAAGTTACTCATATTCAAAACATGGTACTCCTATTTTTGCATTTTGCCTATATTTTACTCCTATTTGGGGGTTCAATAGACCGTTCAATAGACCATTGCGCTGAAATTTTAAATGTTTCTTCGTTCTTTTAAACACTCATAGGCTACTTCACTTAAAATCCAATCCAATATTAACAACGTTAACTTGAATATATAAAGGGTAGAGATTAGAGTCTAAAATGAGCAAATTACCACATAGGTACGTAATGGTTGTTTTTATCTATTTATGGTTGGCACAATATAATACGGAGTACTACATTTGGTGTGCACAAATTACAAATATAGTCATGATTTCCATATACTAACTATGCCCCCATAGTCAACGGAAGCAATGAACCCACTCTCACATGAAGAAGCAGTCAATGAAGTGATGACCTCCTCGTGTGCGTTCCTGCTTCGTACCCTCATTGTATCTATTCTCGACAAGGGACGCCACCGAGTATATGTTCTGCATATACATATACATACATATACATAATCAACATCGATCCAATTAAAATAATCTATATATATACACACATATATATATACATACACGGTGAGATCCGAGGATGAGAAGATAAGGATCAACGGGATGGAAGGTGCATGTTTTGAAGCGTGTAGTACCATTGCAGTGACAAGCGCGAACACACTCTCCAGTACCTGACCATACCCTCACACTATCTTCGCTCACCGACGCCAGCTGACGCCCACTCCTATCCCAACATATTCCCACCACATCTAAACCGTGCCCCTTTAACTCTTGGGTGCGTAACCCCGTCTCGATATCGAATAAGTTCACAACATTTCCGGCAGCCGCCGCCATTGTCCTCCCGGCATTCCTCTCTATTCTCACTACTCGACTTCCTCCCTTGAAAGAACGCTTACAAACGCCTTTAAGGACATCCCACACTTTGATCCAGCTTTTGCTGTCGCAGGAGGCGAGGAGGTTGACGGCGGCCTGAGGATGGAAATCCAGGGACATGACACGGTCACGATGCCCTCGGAACTTCTTTACGCACATATTTTCCGGGAACGACCAATCCCACAACTTGATTAATGTGTCGTGAGAACACGTTGCTAACATCTTTGATTCTGGTCTGAATTTGATATCTGTTATAACCCCATCATGCAGCTTGGATTTGCTTTCGTATAACTCGTCCTTCCTACCATTCATATGCCATACTGTAACCTGCACATGCGTATGTACGTACTGTGCGTGACTGTCAAAATAATATACTGTATAATGAGATCGAGCCGCAGAAGTCGGCGACTTACTTTTTGGTCAAAGCCGGCACAGGCTAAGAAGGGCGTTTGATGAGAGCTGAAGTCGCAACAGAGAAGTGGTTCGCTGGAGCCTTTAACGGAATTCAAACGTTCGAAAGGTAACTCATCCCACTTCATTACGCCGCTAACGGCGGCGCCACGCTCTGCCGGTGAGGGAGTGTATACTCTGCCGGCGGCCGTGTCAGATGATGGAAAGTTATGAATGTAAGCCCCCGGCTGCGGCGAGAAACAATTCTCCCAGTGTCTAAGTAAATCATCTAGAATGCCGTCCGTTTCTGTTCATCATCATCATCATCATATATATTTACTTAAAAAAGAATATTTGAACTAATAATTCTGAATCCAGAATTCAAGAAAATTATGTGGGTGAGTGGCCGGCGTAAAATTTTCAAGAAAACTTCAAGATTCCTTACGCCGGTGATCCTTAGGCCGGTGATCGATAGTTAAAGATTCTATGAAGCTGCATTCAAGAAACGAATTGCATGCATATGGGAAAGGAGTGGAAAACCCCATATATTCCAAATAATTGAAGAAATTAAAGCAGCCTAGATTAGGACAACTAACCGCGGGGAATATTATCAGAGAGATTAGCTTCACGAGAGAATACTTGTGCAGTGCGATTCAAACCCTTCCTTTGCAGGTAAACTCGAATTACCTTGTGAAGCCTGCAATGAAATAAAAAATAAAGATTTTAAGAAGATGAAGAAGAAGAAATTACATGCAATATAGAAGAATTTATGGAATATATTGAAAGAGATAGTTACAATGTCCTGATCCGTTTCTTTTCTTCAATTGAGTCCATGATTAGGCAAGCTGCTATTAATGCGTATTGCCGTAATATTAGTTTCAGAGTACGATTTGAGATTATTGGAGTAGAAATGAAAGAGAAAGGCAGAAAGTTAATTGAAACGGATTAGGATTTATAAACGAAGTATATACTTTCAGAACGGCATGTTTTGGCGCCAGCCGCCAGGGCGACTTATATTATTACCAAGTGTGCGGTTGACCGGCGTTGACATCCTTACATGAGTTACTCTAATAATCTACTTTGGACCAACTTTAAAACATTAAACCTGATACGTTAAAGCTCACGGTTCCATCCTAAAAGGGCATTCATTTTTTCATCGATTTGACTTTGATAACATGTTAAGACTCGATGTTCCATCCTAAAAGGTCAACCTGTTAAGAGGAGTAGTCTGAAGCTTAATACAGCACTCTAATGCTTCTCAATTTTCCGGTGTGGGACATTTAACACTAGAAAATTTCTACGGTACCTGTTATAAATTGGAGGGTACCGTACCTTTGCCTTGTTGGATCAATCAAAACGTTACATCTGGATTCTTTAAACACGTACACCAAACCTATTTATTTGCATATCAATCCCTACGGTGAAGCTTTACTCTTTGACGGAAGAATTGAAGGGTGAAATTAATTGGAGAAGCATCCGCTAAACGTCTCTGAAGTCTGAATGCAGGACGAAACAAAGGGCTGCAGTGCTGTATTCTCGAAGACGAACGCAGTGAGAAAGGAGATGATGTATTTTTTCTTCCAATTTCCTAGCCGTGCTCAAGTTAGACTAACCCGGTGTTGCCGTCACAGTTGTCTCCTCTTGCTACGGGTTTCCTTTGCTCGGCGGCAGCCGTAGAGCTGTTGGGTTCAGCTGATGATGGAGGTAGTTTTTCCTTGTTCTCTTTCAATTTTCCTCAAATTTGCCTAGGGCGAATGCAGTGGTATGTTAATCGTTTATCAATTATATTTGAATGCAGTGGTATGCTCCTGCATCATCAATCCTGATTATTAGCTGTGTGAAAACTTATTATTAGTAGAAAATTGAAACTGTTAGTTTTTCCTATTAGTTACGGAGTATTTAGTTAATATTTTAATATTAATATTCTGTAAATAAAGTACATATATGTATACACACCATCTAATTGAGTGAAGAGAATGGCTTGGAAGAGCAAAATAAGTAGGGCAGTGATCTGTGTCGTTCAAGGAAATGGCTGAAGGTATGTAATTCCATATCTTTCTTCCGCTGATTATCGTATTGATCTGAATATGTCCAGAATATGTTTAATATGTTTAGATCAGTTTGTTCTTACATAAACCCAATTGTGATGATTCACCATAAACGAGGTTTCAAAATAGAAATAGCATTGGACCGGAATAAAAACATTAAAACCATAAACTGAAATCAGAACTTTATATTACTAACCTGGTACATTTATGCTATCGAATGTGGAGGACCTGAATTGCATAACCCAAGGGAAACGAATATAAAAGTTTAAAATGGCAGAGAAACTGATGATGGTGTTTCATTGATAAATGGTTTTGTTTTGTGGAATAGCAGCCTTTGTGTTGACATCGGTGGAGGAATTGAATAAGCGATTACAATCGGCACAGAAGATGCTCCCTCCCTATATCTTTCATTTGCCTTTTTTGTTGATATATGTGTTACTCCCATTTTTTTAGTTTCTTCGTAGTTAAAACATTTTAATTTTTGCACAGAGGGTTCATTTGTATATCAAATGCAGGTCACATTAATTTTAAAGTGATGTTTACTGTCTGATTTCCATTTTTAGGTAGTCAAAGGGATATAAGAACAGAGGGTTCATTTGTAGATCAAATGCAGGTCACATTAATTTTAAAGTGATGTTTACTGTCTGATTTCCATTTTTAGGTAGTCAAAGGGATATAAGAACATTCAGCACATTTCCCTTTGTTTGTCATATATATCTAATTTTTTGGTCCATTGTATAGTAGTGTGTGAGTGTGTGCTTAAAGTTTTTGGTCCAAATGGTTGTTTTATGACCATTTTTGTTACATAGTTACAAAAACCTTTTTGACATGTTGTGACTTTTATTTGGTAGATGAATGAATATGATCGTGAAGCAACTCATAATTAGATCGAAGAAAAAGAATCTCTGTCATTGTCTTGTGATGAAAGAGAAGGTGCTGCGGAAGTTGCTGTGATTAATGAGAAGTGTATTGGTGTGATTCATAAGAGGAGTATATATATACTTTCAGAATGGCATGTTTTGGCGCCAGCCACCAGGGCAACTTATATTACCAAGTGTGCCGTTGACCGGCGTTGACATCCTTACATGAGTTAGTCTGATAGAAATTACTCTAAATAAGACTAAAACTATGTCAAAAACTCAAAATAGGACTTACTATGTTTTTCTTTTCAAAATAGGACCATATTAATCTTATTGGAAACATAGCTATTTTGTCATTCCATTTTTACCCTTCCTTTAAATATGAGTTAATTAAATGTTTAATTGATAATAAATTCGGAAAAAAATCAAAAAATCGTAGAAAAATAATTAAAAAATGTATAAAATATTTATAAAATAAAAAAATTTAAAAAAATATTTAATTTTTTTTATTTTTTTAAAAAATAAATAAAAATAGTAAAATCCCATAAAAAAATTAAAAAAATATGGATGCCTTTCCCACCGCCTGTACTACCTCCCTGCACCACCATCTCCAGGCGGTGAAAAAATGCCATTTTTTCCTGAAATCTGCCATTTTTTTTTAAAATGCAAAAACCATGGCATATTTCTCTTTGAGAAAGCCAACATTTTCATTGTTTTCTGCCATAAATATGACATTCGTAATGAACTTGGCATTTTTTCCCCTGATGAATGGAGGTGGTGGTGCTGAGGCGGCAGAGGTGGCGGTGAATTTTATTTTATTTTTTTGAGTTTTTAATTTTTTTTAAAAAAATAAATAAATTATTTTTTATCGAAATATTTTTATTAATTTTTTAGTATTTTTTACGAATTTTTTATTATTTTATATTATGAATTAAAACATTTCAATAGCTATAAGGTATATTGTCCAAGACACACATAATTAGTCCTATGAAAACATTGTTTATTTTTTGGTCCTATTTGTGCAAAGTGCGTGACTTTTAGTTCTATTTTGATAATTAACCCTCCTCTAATAATCTAGCTACAAGTATTGGACCAACTTTATAACATTAAACATGATAGTTAATTACTAAAATATAAATTATTACTTTATTTCTACAATATTATAAGACTAAATATTGTCGGGGGCATGACAGTAATAAAAAAATGTTTGTGTCTCTTGATGCATAATTTGATTGTACTTTGTGTTTACTTGGTTGCACGTCAAAGCTAATTCGCTAACGGACGTGTTAGTGCACGTTACATCCTGCTGTTTGACTTACTCTTCCCGTTATTCCATTAGCAGAAGCGAAACTCTTCATCTCTTTTATTTCCAGTTATATTGAAACAGTTAGTCCTTTCACCTCCCTCTTCTCCTTTCCAGCCTAAACATTTCTCATGTTCCATAGTAATGGCTTGTAAACATCAGTTTAGTCGATCGAAGGTAAATGGATTGTCGAATATAAATGATTCGATGCAGGTGTTAATACAGACTTTCACTTCTTCTATCCTCTACTCTCGTAAGTTTATTAACTGGTTTACACTATATAACCTGATTTCAGTATTGCCGTGTGCAATAAATTATACAAAGTGATAAAATTGGTTTTATAACACTCGATAAATTATTTTTCACTATGAAAGTGTCAAACTATTGACCTACTAAAGTTATGTTTTTAGAATGTCGGATTTCTTTCCAATTTCATCATAGATGCTGGAAATTTGGAGTTATCATCAAGAGAAGCCAAGGTAAACAAATGAAATCAATCATTAGTTTTTTTGTTAGATATATTTATATTGGACTGAGTGTGATGAATGAGAATTCCATCATATTAACCTCTCAACCCTGTTTTGTGTTGTTGATTATCTTAAAATCTTATAAGAGCAAATAGGGGCAGAGACATTTTAGGTAGAAAATATTTGTTGGTGTAATCTATTCCAATACAAGGGTGTACATTACATTGAATGTCTTCTATTGCTACTACTTTTGCTGCAGTCTCTCCATCTATCTTACATTCAAGGTCATTATTCCTTTCTTATTATCAATTCTATCTATTAGATTTGTGCTCTTTTCACCTGTTTGATTTCATTAAACCTATATTTCCCATGTTACATAGCATACTAAGCTAACTTTCGTTAACCTATATGAATTGTGTATATATCTTAAGCGAACTATAAGATTTGTCCTCTTTTCACCTGATTTTATCTATTTTTGCACTTTTTTCCTTTATGCTTTCCACATCTTACTGCCATTATGCTTCATGAACTCCCACCTCACAAGTTGTTATGTTTCCTTTTTCACCTTAATGAATACTAACCTTAAGCCTTAAAGATTTAAAAACATTTGCTTATGGATCCATGAGTATGAGGGACAAATTATGGTTGCACAAATCAATATATATGTTAATTTGTTGTTTTTAGTAATTATGTTGTTTTTCCAAACATGCAATATTGTTAGGTTGTTAACCCTGTAAATAGTTTTTGTTGTGCCAATGATTCAGCCATTTACTGACTTATTTTAGGTATTAGTTCCTTAAGAACTATAATGCTACTTGATAAAACATTATTAAATAAATATTTAGAAAAATGACCTACTAATTGAAATTATTGTTAATATTGAAAAATCTTCTCAAGTCTATTTGATAGTATATTTGCTCCTCTTGTAGAGTAAGTTATTCACCATTCTCAAATTTGTACATTATGTATAACTTTGCATAAATGTTGATTTTACAATATTATTGCATTCGTCTTATACAACCATGCAATTTCCTTTAGGATATATCCTCTTTTTATGAGATTTTAATTTCATTTAAGCGAAAATTCTCAATTTAATTACTTGACGTCATTACTAAGACTAATAAGTCACATTTATTAATAACGTATATGAGTTCTCTGTGTTGATAACTTGATATGATGATATCCAATTAGCTGCCTGCACAAAGTGCATGCATTTTGAATTTCAACCAATAATTGAACTACTTTAATATTGAATTCCTACCAATATAGAATTAATATGAACTTTCTCATTTTAAATTTTGTTATGACCTCTTTTTGTTATTAGCTATATTAGTTATTGGTTATTATAAATAAAACTTAAACTTAGACAAAGAAAATATTGGGAGTTGAACTCAGGGCCCTGCATTTATTTGTAATCAACTTAATATGACTTATTCGGATCAAAGAGTGATA